GATTGGGGTTTATCAAATCAAATAATTTATCTGCAAGAGAAATAATTTCTTCAATATTTTGATTACTACAAGAAGTCAAATGAATTTGTATTTGTTGCGGTAACTTCCTACTCCATAATTTAAATAAAAGTTCTTTACTGACAATTGATTTGGAACCTGCTAAAGATTTCATATGTCTATAAAGTTCTGATGGTGAACGATCACCCAGTTCGGTATTTGAAAATAATTGCTCTAATCTCTTCTCTTCGCTAAGAGAAAATCTTTTACATAAAACTTTCTTAATTGTTTCATATTTGTTAATCAAAGGAGGCGGATTAATAACATCAATAATTTTAGAAATTGATTCTTTTTGAAGAAAAACTAAAATGTTTTGAAATTGATATGAAATGATAATATCAGCACGTATGTTGTTGATTTCGAATTGTCCTTCCACAAGGAGAAACCATGCTTCAGGACAATCTTCCCAAAAAAGAGGCAACTTAATAGATTTTGATAAATTTGCACTCAAGTTATTTTCCTTTGGAAAACAATTAGTGGGTATATTTTGTGAAATGTTTAAGTCTGAAGTGTGTATTGGGTTTTTATGCCAATTTTCTGTTGTTGTTGTGAAATTGCGTGTACGTATTGGTGATCTTTGCATTTTGAAATAAACTGGAGAAGAAGTGTTCAAAATAAATATAAATAATAATAATTTTAGTTAACACAAATGATATTTATGTATATGTTCATAAAAATTAATTATATTAATGTAAAGTTATTTATATTAATTGCAATTAATAATTCTAAATTTCTTTTAAATATTTTTTTTTTAATTTACCTACATTAAAAATGGTAGATTGTTTAATCTCTAATTAATTATAAATTAATTTGTTAATAAATTTTTAAATTAATTTTGTCCTATTTTTTTGTTAATGAATTTGATTTTAAAAACAAATAAACAAAGTCAGAGAGTAACTTTAAAACATTAACAAAAACTGAATAAATAAACAAAAGATTTCAGACAACCACATTTTTTTTTTTAATTTGATATCATAATACGATATATTGGCGACCCTGGTGTATCCTGTGCAAACCAAATCAACAAATTTGCAACAGCTAGTGAAGTTGAAAGTTTATTATTGAATAATCAATAATTTTCATTTCATAAAAACATACAAATCCATAGAACAATAAATTTAACTTCAAGAATTTAAGCAAGTATAAAAACATACAGTTTAATTACCCTACAGCTAGTAGCCATTTTGGGTCGCTTAGTCAAAAATGGAAACATATATACATATTTTAAATTTAAGAAAACAAGGCAAATAGCAAAATCGGCTAAAAACGGCTAATTTTTTTCAAACAAATCGGCTGCCGACTAAATCGAAATTTCTCCGGCTGTTTGCTATCGCAACCGGCTAAATCTAGCCAGAAATCGGCTAAAATGGCAACACTGGTTGTAGGTACTTCGAGTGCTTGTGTCGTGATTGATCGTGCAATTTACTTCATGGGGAATTTAAGAGGTGCCACGACTCTGCAGTAGCCATCGACAGTGACGTTTTGGTCGGCAGGTAGCGGACACCTTATTATCACTCACAGATATGACTTACAAGTTCCATGGATATGAAGAAACTACTAAGGACCCCACAACCAGGGTTTCCACTTTGGTAAATTGTTACCAAAACTGGTAGAAAAAATTTGGGTTGGTAAAAAGGTAAATTTTTTCTCAATTTGGTAGATTTTTGATGAACTTTCCGTTCCCGATTTATTCTTCGTAGTTATCTTTAAATATATTATAAATTTCTTTGCATACTTTTTATATAATTACATACGTATAAATGTATATCGATATAAGGCGAACTTATCGCGCTCCATTCAAAACTAATTTTACCGGAATCCCGAGAAGCTTTTGATCGCCTAAATATTTTAAATGATTATGTATTTAAATATAAAGAAAAAATTTACAGTTAAGTTTCATTGTTGCCTTTAGTTTCATCACTTCCGCTTTTGGTTGAAGGAAACTGAGAATATGCCAATAATATGACTCAAATACCGTATAACTAGTTAAATGAAAAGTTCTTCAAAAAATTTTAACTCTTATTGAAATAACTAATTAAAATAAATAAAAAAATAACAAAACTATGTTTTTGTTAAAATAATTATAAAAAAGTTATTGGTAGATATTTCCAAGATTTGGTAGATTTTTTTCAAGTGGATGGTAAATATTATTTTTCGTCAGTGGCAACCCTGCCCACAACGTCGCGAAAACTACCAAAGTTACCTAAAAGTAGCTGCAGATTTGCAGTTGCAGTTCAGTAACGTGGGTTAGTCGCCGCTCTTGCTATTTGCCATTTTTAAGATCTAAAAACTTTAAGGTTAGCTTACTGGTAGCAACGACTTCCGCAATACCGGTAATGCTACTTAAAAGTCACATAATTTTTAAGTAATCACAATATTTCAAATAAAGTTACTTATACATCAAAAAGGCCCCTTTAGTGAAGGTTACGTAATAGTTTCTCGCTATAGGTTTCCGTCTCCGTTTCTGTTACTTTGGTGCTAGTTGGGAAGGCAACCATCCCCCTGACAAAGCATCAAAGGGCAGAGGATGAGCCTTTTTTGCCTTATTGGAGAGCAATAGTTTAAGAAACGAACACAGAATTTTCCTCTTCTACTAACTCTTCAGAAAAAAGAGTTAAGATCTGCAATAACTAAGTTTTTAACACCATATCCATGTATTATGTTTTTATCCTTTTGATTAAAAATCGTAATTTTCCACAAATATATGTACTGTGAAACCCGCTTAAGTACCCCCGCACTTAGGTACCTAACCCGCTTAAGTAACCAACATTTTTGGACACCGTGAATTTTTTAATATAATCAGAAGAAAATCCCTCTCTTAAGTACCTCCCGGCCCCATTTACAATTTTACTTATAATTTTCCTCTTTTAAGTGCTTTTTTAAAATTCCTTAAAATATTTACGTATTTTCAAATTCAGTAGCAGCGCTACACACCTTCGGTAAAAAAATCTAAAAAATCAACGGTAGCTTTTAGCTACTTGAAACTTGCACATTATTGCACTAAAATTGAGTGGGCTATAAAACTGTATACTCAAAAAATACTTCTGAGAAAAAAGTTTGAAATTATGACGATTTTTTTTAAGTGTTCTACAAAATCTTAAGCTTAGGTTTATATGGTATTTGTTAGGGAATGGACTGCATTTTAATTGATTGAAAAATTTAAAAAATAAATAAATAACCACAAGTGGCAAACCATATCATTTTGAATTTGGTACAAAATGATATGTCCAACTTTGACTTCTTAAACAATTTAATTCTTGTAAAAATGACATACCGTTGCACTAAATATTTTTTTTTATAAAGTTTTTCTTTACTTGTTTATGTGTTTAAATAATGCTACGATTTTGGTTTTAAACTATGTATACTTCATTAAATGTTGTTATTCAAGTATTTATGTAAGTTAACAAGAAGATGTAACGACATCAGTAATTATGTTCGCTTAAGTACCCGCATCGAGGTACTTAAGCAGGTTCTTTTAAGTACCCAACCCGCCTAAGTACCTAAAAAAGCTGACATTTTTCGTGAGGTACTTAAGCGGGTTTTACTGTATTTACCTTTGTTTGTAAATAGTCCATATTTGGAAGAAATAAGTTAATTGTAAAATCAATAATTTTTAAAGCAAGCGTTCTAAATATGAACGAAATTTGACCACAAATACTGGTTTACCATACTCGTGCGCCACCTATCGGCAAAATTTTTAGTGGAGTTATTCCTTTTCATGTAGTTAATATACGTTCTAAATATGAACCAAATCGGACTATAAATACGGGATTTGTATCTCGACTCCTGCGCCACCTATCGGGTTTTGAACCAACTGTGAAGTTCAGGTCTCTAGGTAATCGGGAAGTTGATCAAAAATTTATTGCAAGATTTGCCCCTACCAAACATACATACATACAGAGCAAAGGAAATAAAAGCTTGTAAAATAGAGGCACTTCAAACCTTTCACACAAAAACGTAACAATTTGTCTCTGCAATGAAAAATTGTTCACGGAGAAAAACGGCTTAACCGACACTGCGGGCACAAAAAAATGTAAAAAGAGTGCAATAAAGAACTTAAGCAGCGTTGCCACTAACAATTATTCCCCCTACCAATTTTCTACCCAAATCCGACACAAACCGTTTACAACTTACAAAATAAATTTCAATTACAAAAAAGTATTCTGAAAGCATACAATTCATTTATTTAAGATTAAATGTTTCGAATACAAAACATTTACATACATATATAAAGTATGTACTTTGTACATTTTAAATTAAACAAGAAATAAATAAATGCAGGTACAGTAATTATATTTTATTAGTATTATATTTTATTCTTATTATAATTTTATTTTATTATTGTTTTATTTTATTACTAGCAGACCCGGCGAACTTCGTCCCGCCCAAAATAAATTTTTTGTACACGGTCAAAAATTTGGGTTTAATTTTTAATCGGCGCTGGGACTACTGCCTTTTTTAATCTTTTATAGTCTACTTTTTAAACCAGTCAATAGTTTTAAGCAATTTTTAATATATTGTGGTTTAAACTTTAGTCCAAAAAGTTCGTGATTTAAAAATCAAACCAAAATATTTTAATTCTAGTTTCTAGGTTTCATATGTGACCTGGTCTACGAAAAGGGAGCTTACGTGCGAAAACTAGTTTTCTGTGAAAAAGCTGTTAAAAGTAAGCAACTCGTTTCGTCAGTTTCTCATTATCTCGTTAATTGTTCTCCGCGCCGGACGTCCAGTAAGTGTTGTTGTTGGTCCAGTAAGTGTTGTTGTTGGTCCAGTAAGTGTTGTTGTTGGTCGGAATATTATTATAGTTCATCGTGTAAGTTGCTAGTGTGGAACATTTAAAAAAGTAACACTGAAGAAGTGACGTTTACTGTTTCTGTTGATTATCGTCTTCGCATTTCGCATGAAATGAAACATGAGTGTTGATGAGGAGTTCAGTGCCGTATACGGACAATATTTCCATGAAAAGGATGATGAAAACGATGATGAAAACTATGAAGAGAGCGATGATGATGAAGACGAAGTATGTGTATCTCAGGCAGAAGATGATACTGAACAAACTTTTGTTAAGATGGACCTGAATGTTGTTGATGTAAAGGAGGAGGAGCTGGTAACAAAATTTCTGTCAAAAGATTGTTGTAATAATGAATGCCATACACTGATACCACGGGAAATGATCGAGAGTACGCGGAACAATTGTTTAGAGATGTCGAAAAATGAACTTGATTTAGTGATACTAAGTCACATCGAAGCTGGAATTATGAGTAACGAAAAGCTAGAAAGTGTATACGCAAAGCTTGCTGGGCGGAAGAAATATGGACAGAGACAGGATACAGAAGTTATGAGGCATAGAATTCAATTTACCTTCTACAGAGTACCTGTTTGTCGTTCGTTTTTCCTTTTTGTACATGCCTGTACGACGAAGCGTTACGAAAATTTAGTACGTCATTTTCACGCACAGGGTGTAACAGTGCGCCAACACGGACTGGCAAATAAACCGAGTACACATCCAAAGTCATTTAAACCGGCTGACATCGAAAAAGCTGTTAAATTCATCGAGTCTATAGCCGATTTAATGGCTCTTCCACTGCCCGGACGACTCCCAAAATTTAAGGATTTTCGGATAATGAAACTGCCATCCAGCGAGACGAAGTCCTCAATTTATCGAAAATACATTTCTTCACTCAGTGATGACGAATTGAAGATGAGTAATTGCAGTTTTCGACGGATATGGTCCAAATACATACCCCATGTTACAGTTATGAAACCAGCGGATGATCTCTGCGATGTCTGCCGTGGTAAGTAGCTCATTATTTTCTCATTTTATAGTTGTATCAAACGTTGAGATTAAATTCAGTATTTTTTCTTTTAATAGGAAACACAATATCGATTGCGCAAGCCAAAGGTGTTACTGACATTGAACGCGCACAGAAGCTTAATCAATTTCTTGATCACCTCCACCGAGCCCGAAATCAACGAGAATATTATCAAAGTTGGTGTAGAAATACTGACCCTACAGCAGTCGTTCTGTCATTTGATTTTGCCCAAACCGTTCACTACCCTGTCAGTCCACAACAACCTGGTACAGCATACTTCAAAGCAACCAAGAAGTGCGGAGTCTTCGGAATTACAGACGAAAAACAAAAAGTTCAGGTTAGAATTTCAAACTGAATCATAGGAACTCAAATTGCTCGCCTTTACAGGATCTTACTTATATTTTTTTTTTTTACAGTACAATTACATGATAGATGAAAAAGATGACGTTGGTAAAGGACCTAACTGTGTTGTGAGCATCCTGCATTATCACCTGCAAACCTACTATAAAGACATTGAAACACTCGTTATTTTCTATGACAATTGTGTTGGGCAGAATAAGAATAACACTGTACTATCATATCTGCAATGGTGTTTGGCTCGGGGTCTTAACAAAACTATTTTATTCAATTTTCTACTTACCGGGCACACTAAGTTCACGCCTGATCATTACTTCGGTATTTTCAAAAGTAAGTATGCCGTCAGTAACATCGACACGTATGCAGATTTACTGCAGTGTGTCGAGGCATCATCACCTGGGGGTTATAATAAGCTGTATCGTCTGAAAAAGTCGTCTGGTATGAATGGGACAGCTATTTTAAACCACTGTACAAGTCACTTGTTGGAATAACGCAATTCCATCATTTCATAATCTCTAAAAATTGTGTAAAAACAAAGAAATTCGCAGACAGTGAAGAAGCGCAGTCCTTTAAGCTTCTGTTAAAACCTATCGATCCTGAAATGCCTAAAGTTATACAACCAGCCGGTTTATCTTTGGAACGTCAGTGGTACATCTATCACAATCTTCGCAGCTTAGTTTCGGATATATCTAAAGTAGATATTGTGGCTCCATTGCCGAAAGATTTGCCATCGAAGAAACGGAAGGCAAAAACTAGTGAAGATGTTCTCAAACCAGACGAGGAACCAGGTTCATCTTCCTCAGGATCAACACGTAAAAAGATCTCAAGGAAAACGACAACAAAGAAAAATACATAAACTACTCAGCATTATTATTTTTGGCTTATAATACGTTTTTCTAGTGTATAATCATGTCTTTATAGCTTATAATTCAATGTATTTTGTTCATTACCAATAAATTATATTTTGTCGTATTTTTACTCTTCTTTCTCTACATTTTTAGTACACTTCTAAGCAAGTTAGGATTTTCTGCTTTTCACCACGTGAAAAAGCATCTCATCTTCCATCCGAATCAACCAAAAAGTGAAAATTGATTTTTTGACACCTAAGCCCCTTTCCGTAGACCAGGTCACATATATAGAAAATTTGGTTTAAAATCTAAACGGAAATAGAAAATGTTTGCACACAGCGAAATGTGGTGTTGATTCAAACTCAACATAGGAAAGCAATTTTACATGCGTGGCTGTAGCTGAGTGTGCAAAGCTGCTTGATACAATTGCTTGCTACTATGGCTGTCCGGGTTCAATCCCCATCAGACGGAGCATGAATTTTATTTTTATTTTTTATTCTTAATTATGAAAATGTTTGGGTTTAAAATTTAAACCGAACTGTTTAAATTCTAAAGCCAACATATGTGCCCTCTTTTTTTTACATTTAGAATGTTTGTATTTGAAACTGAATTTATGTAGTGTGGTCATATATGTAGTCCAAAAAGTTTAAAATTAAAACCGAAATTTTTAACCGTGTACTGAAACATTTTGGTCCAGCATTTTTTCATGAGTTCACGTTCATGATTTTTAGTGACGCATTTGTCTTCTAATATTACGGTTTGGTGGTTGTCAGAAGGCATATTTGCCGTCTTAAATAACTTAGCAAAACTGTACATGCATACAAAGATACGTAATAGTTTCAGTGCGTTTGAAAGGCGCCACGTCCCCTTTTCAAATAACCCCAATTTTCTCGAAGTGCATGGGATTGATTTCATATATGTATCTCTATACCATTTTCGAGTAATTTACCATGGGAGGTGCCAATTCCCTTTTTCCAATAGCCCCAAATTTTCTTCATGACCAGTCGCGTTTTATATATCTTGTACATACCAAGTTCCAGTACTCTTCCATGAACACATTCAGAGATATGCAGTATGAAAAATTCGATGTGTATGGGAAGTGCCACGCCTCCTTTTCCGATAACCACAATTTATCTCCATGAGTATGCGATTGCTTGCATATATCTCCATACCAAGTTCGAGACCTCTTCCATGAACATTTTCCGGGATATGCAGTATGAAAAATTCGGTTTGTATGGGAGGTGCCACGTAACATTTCCCAATAACCGCAATTTTTATCCATGAATATGCAAATGTTTTCATATATCTCCATACCATATTCGAGTAGTCTACCATGAACACTTCCAGAGATGTGCAATATGAAAAATTCGGTTTGTATGGGAGGTGCCACGCCCCCTGCACCTAGCCGTATGAAATATACTTTACATCCGATTCTCATACCTACATTATATAACACAAAAAATGTCATAAAGATCGGTCGAGCCGTTTTGGAAGAGTTCGATTTTTATATATAGACTAGCTATACCCTGCCACGCTTTACTGTGGCATATTCCTGTTACATGGATGATAAATTATTAACGAAACAAAGCATACGTTTCATATGAGTTTGATTTTGTAATAAGTACTTGTGTGCACACAATATTCGTCGTGTTTCCATTCTCTGCATTAATATCAAGGATATCTGGTTTGCCGACAAGGGAACACGCAACATCTAAGAACCAATCCGCATCTCACTCTAAACCATACTTTTCCAAAGGATAACCTTGAGCAATAGTGATTGTGATTCCAAATGTCCATCGAATTCGGAACTGCAATCTTCAAAATTGAAATGGTGTATCGGTCGGAATCATGGGAATTCTTCACCTTTGAAAGGCCACGTAAAAATCTTTACTTACACTACGTTCTTCATCAATTTCTTAACTGCGAGTCGCGTACTGTTGCGGAGTTTTAGCTGATTAATATTCCGCAACGTTATAATTGGTACACCTATTTTCAATTCAGTATGTGGGGTCATCCCTGGAAGATCAATCGATTTCAAAAATTCCGTTGGATAATTAACTGATTCGTCTTCTTCCACAACGGTGTTTATCGACGCATATGTTATTGTTTAAGTGACTTATGCATTTCCCGCTTAAACAAAGAATAGCCAACATACAGACGCACTTGTTTTTAAAGGCACTTCGCTCGTGTTTAATTGGGTATGCATTTTTTATGCAATTCTCAAATATCTCTTCGCTGAACTTAGTGAAGTGATAAGTCGCTGGCATTTTCAGCTATGGTCAACGCTAACCCAGCTTGGCTATCACACGGTGCTTTGAGCATCACCCACACTCCACTCCCGGAGTAATTTTTGGCATGGTATTAAGCTACTGCTTACAAACCACACTGGGGCTCTGCACGAATGCATCCCTGGATAAATCCCAGCTCATTTCCCAGCAGCCTAAGGCAGCTAGAGCATGACTCCTCCAATGGAGTCCCACAATGAATACACGGTGAAACGGTCACATCTTGCGCTACCGCTTCATCAGCCTACCCACATATCTCTCTCTCTCTCTTTCTCTCTCGCATATCAGGTATATGAAGTGCGTGGCTGACTTCATGTGCACCTATAAACCATACGGACTCATTGAGCTCGATACACAAACACTCGCAAAGGTAATCCCTACCTCCTCATCTACTCTAACTCGACCACAACTCTAAACCTGGGCTCGAATCGTCACATACGATATCGTATTACTCGTCACGTAAAAACAAATTTTTCAGATTATGACGTACGTGAACGTAGTCTTTGTCTCATTCAGCTTATACTGCCTGACGTATCACGTAATTTTCTTTCGTATGGTTTTCGATCGGTGAACGGATGTTACGATTTGAGTCCTGGTCTCCCGCTCTCCCTCAGCTAAACAGTTGTCACTTTGAATGCCGGATTGAATAACATTAGTGGTGTTCACCAAAGTGAGCAAGTGGCCTGGCAGTCTGGTAAAAGAGCAGACCAGCTCAAGCAACGACTGTTGTCAATACCACTCTTATTTAGTTGATAGACATCCTTATTCTTCGCAGCAAGAATAGCTCGTTCACTGAGCCTGTAATTAATTTTCTTAATTAAGAAACATTCTTTCCATCAGTTCTCCTTTTGATGTTCCTTAGTTACAAAAATTATCAGGCAATACAATTCGTCTTAATCTCTCGTTAGCTGGCAGCTTTCCGTTCCCAATGTCCAGTACTTGTCGCGAAAATCCCTCGGCTGCAGTGTATATATGTATGTTCGTCTAGCCACAATGTTGACTATTTCAGGTAAGCATTTATCTAGTGTTAATCAAGAAATTACAGACAATGTTTGCGTAAAATCTCCTGAGGGCAATATCAATACATTCCCGAATGGTTGGACGTTTCCATGCAAATCCCGCGACAATGGATCAAGGACCTCAAGCAATTTTTTATGTGCCATCGTGCACTGATCTCAAATAATTAGTTTAAATTTTTGTACTACTTTTTCCATACCGGATGTTCTGGAAATATTGCAAGTAGGAGTTTCGATGATTTATATGTTCAATGGCAGCTTAAGAGCTGAATTAGCAATGTTTCCACCTGGTAGCAATTCCAGGCGAAGCGATAGCTAAGGTTATGTAATTGTTTGAACGAACCGTTGCCATAAATAATCAATCTTATTTGGCGCTGTAAACGCCTAAGCCATTTTGGCCGAGGTCGACAAAGAACGCCAGTCGTTTCTCTCTGTGCCAACTGACGACAATGGGAAATGCCCCGTGAAGCCAAGTTCTTATCCACTTGGTCTCTCCCTCTTCCTCTGCTACCACCAGCGGATTGCGAGTTTAATACTTTCAGAACTGGAACGTCGCTTCCCATTCGAACGACGTGGCCAAGCCAGCGGAGCCGCTGTATTTTCATTCGATACACTATGTCCATTTCGTTGTAAAGCTCATACAACTCATCGTTCCATCGTCTGCGGTACTCCCGTCGCCAACGCGCAGAGGCCTGTAAATCTTCCCTAAGATCTTTCTCTCCAATACTTCAAGAGCCGTCTCATCGAATGTTGTCATTGTCTAAGCTTCTGCGCCATATACCAGCATGGGCATGATGAGTGACTTATAGAGTGTGGTTTTTGTACGTCGAGAGAGAACTTTACTCCCGAATTGCCTATTCAGTCCAAAGTTGCATTTGTTGGCTAGAGTGATTCTGCATTGGATTTCCATACTGACATTATTATCGGTGTTAATGCTGGTTCCCAAGTAAACGACATTCTCTACTTTCTCGATATTACAACTGGCAACAGTAATGTGGGTGTCAAGGCGGGACTGCTCTGACTCTTTGTTTGATGACAGGAGATACTTCGTCTTGTCTTCGTTGATCACCAAACCCAATCGCTTTGCTTCTTTACCCAACTTGGAAAAGGCAGGACAGACTTCGACGTTTTTGTTACCGACGATATCGATGTCATTGGTATACACCAGAAATTACACGCCAGGAGTTCACAATAGTAATAGTAATCATAATTATAATAATATTATCTGATGTTATTCAACATTTCTTTACTCGCAATATACTTAGGCCATAAACATAGTGGAGCGGCGAGCGAAGAGCATCGAGCAAAGCGTCGATTTCAAACGCATATGTTTCAATGGGATAGCCATATATCTAATACTTCTATATTGATAGTAACGTATCTTCACTATGTGTTTTTATTCCGCAATCAAAGGGAGACAGCCTATCAAATAAATGTTTGCTTGTGTTAGTATAAATGTATATTTGTGAACTATTACAAACAAACCACTGTCAAGTCACTCCAGGAGCGGTTTAAATTACAAATACCCGCCTTACCTACACCCACATCAACAAAGTTGTTCAGTCAAGCCTGATTATTGTAACAAAAGAAAGAAAAAAAAACGTCGAAGCACAGGAGATGAAGGAAAAAGATGCAAAGTATGAGTCCCGTCCTGTCAGGTGGA